TTGCTACGGGACACTCTTTAATGGCGGTATTTGCTGATGGACATCGCTCAATGCTGTCTTTGGCAAAATTTTAAACCATAAATTTAAATGATTTTAATTTTTAGGTTATTTTAGGTCTAAACAGCTTACTCGTAAACTTAAATATAGAATTATAGAAGAAAATACTCCATCGGTCATAAAATAAGTGGTTCTCATTTCTTAAGAAGAAAAACTTTTTTAATTATAGATATGAGTATTGTAATAGATATACAAATTATAATTTTATAAAAGGGCATGTCACATAAAAAAATTGCGTCTATTTCTTATAAAGGTATATGTGTAATATTAAAATCTTTTAGACGCGCACGCACGCTCATTCTTATAAATGCATGCATGCACACCTTAGCCTTACGAGCACTTGCGAGCGCACACACGCTCATTCTTATAAATGCATGCATGCACACCTTAGCCTTACGAGCACTTGCGAGAGTGACGAGTTGGATCAGTAAGGTCCAGATGGGCCATTGAGCCCAGGGGGTGCAACCCAGGCTGTTTTTTTGCTTGGACCAGCCCATGAGCCAGGCCGGCACGCCCCTCAAAACAGCCCTGGGCCTGGCCCTGGAGAAACGAAAAATTCTTCTGTACCCGCCGGGCTCGGCTATAGCGGGCGCATCGTGTGCGAGCAGCAACGTTCTCGTCACCTCCCTTTTCTTTACCATGAAAGCCTCCCCGCCGCCGCCGCCAACCCCGTCATTGAGTGCACGCAGGCTCCAGCTCGGCGCGGAGACTTCCCCTCCCTCTCCGACGACTCTTCGGCGGGCTAGCTCATTCTCATCCAGGAAAACAAACATGGCTGGTTGCACCACCACAAGCTGGATCACAAGATGCAGGCTTACTAAACACAATAGAACCGATAACTTTGATTAATATCAAATCTAGCAAGAGATCAAATGATCGATGTAGCCTACCGAAGAACTCGTCTAGAATTGCGTTACTCCTACTCCTAGTGCGATGGCGTGAAGCTGGAAAAATAGATTGTGTATTGATCGAGAGATGAAAAATGTTACAGTAGCCGAGGTCTATATTTGTACCCTGGGCCGATACAGAGTCCTAGACAATTCTTGAGTAAAAAGAAAATAATCTAATTTGAACTCCACGATTTCCTTTCTGGCAGAGTCCGATTCTGTTATGCCTGAGCCGATACCGCTGGCGTCGTGATTTTCACGATCCATTCGAAAAATTTGTTGTAAGCAAAAAGAAAAAAACCAAAACATCCCTGTTGGCCTTTGGATAGACATCAGGCCCTAAAATATCTAACCGGTCATTTTCTCCCTCGTGCTCTCTCTCTCTCTCGCTCGCTCTTTCTCTCTTGCTCCGCACTGGCGTGCGGGTGCCTTAGGCTCGCCGCCAGCCGCTAGATCCGACGGAGGGCTTGTCGCCGCTGCTGGCCCCCTGGTCCGCGCGGGCCGCCACCCCCCACATCGCCGCCGCCGTCCCCTGGAGTTCTCAGGTATGTTTTTTAGTTAGTTGAGTTTATTAGTTTAGTTAGGTTTTTTAGTTTAGTTAGATTTTGTTAGTTTTGTTTATTAGCTAGATTTAGTTTTAGGAGTACTTTTAGTTTTAGGGTTAGTTATTAGTTTTTTGTTCTGTTTAGGGTTAGTTAGTTTAGTTAATAATTTTTCTTCTAGGGTAATGTTAGTTATTAGTTTTTTGCCTAGTTTTAGCGTTAGTATTAGATTCGTTATTAGTTTTGATTCTAGTTGTAGATTAGGGTTAGTTTTAGGGTATAAATTTTAAGGGTACCTCAATTAACTTACACGATATTTTACACGGCGCGATTAGGAATGTCGACCGATTTAGTCCCTTTCAGAATTTACTCTGGCAACGATGAAATCAGATATGGGGACAGTGGGGTAAACCTTACCGAGTTCCAATTGTTAGACATAGAATTGAATTCGCCACTAGATTATAGCCGAAAACAAGTTTTGGCCTGGCTACACGAGCACTTAGGTGTTCCGCCCACCCAACATCATTTCAGGATTAGTATGTTGGTGCCTAAAAGTGGGAGAATGGATGGAGGTGGGAGCTGCACGAGGCCAGTAACACGAAGAAGTGGCATTTTCTTGTGTCCAAGGCGTTGGAGCATCGCTATGCCAACATCATGCTTGTTGAGTTCCTGGACGGTGCCATGCAGGGTGAGAGTAGCAACACATGTGCAGTAGAGGAGAACTTAGAGTCGGCAATTGGTGAGCAGACCTATGTTTGCGATCGTCAAGCGGTTGAGAACATGTCAGAGGGTGGACAAGCGGAAGACTATGGTCCTTCCATGGAAGCTGACCTGGGTGAGGAGGACGAAAGGATTGTCGAACAGATGGAGGCTAACGATGCGGAGCACGTCGCCTTCGTGGATGAATTCGCTGGCAGGAGGTTTGACGACGAGACGGACATCCCTGAGTTCACATCGCTCCTGATGCCATGATGGTCGATGATGGTCATCATTCGTCGTGGGATTACTCAAGGATTGAGGTCAGACAAGGGTAGATGTTTCATGACAAGGTTCATCTGCAACACGCTGTTCGGCGATGAGCTTCTTTCGAAAAGAGGCAGTTTATGGTGGTCATTTCTAACCCCACAACGTGGGATGTTAAGTGTGTCACCCTGGGTTGTACTTGGCATGTTTATGGTCATATGTCACGTACCGAGGGCAACTTCATAGCCTGCTTGCTGCAATCTTTGCTAAACAAGCATAGCAACATGTCGGCGGCTTTCGTTGCAAACGAAATGTATGGTGAGGTTGTTGAAAAGGTTGGCATGTCTCCTTTTCAGATAATGCTTGCTATTCAGAATATATTTGGGTATGAGATTTCCTATGACATGGCTTGGAGAGCTAAACAGTTGGCCTTAGAAAAGAGGTTCGGTACGTATAAGGACTCATATCATCACCTGCCAGCTCTTCTAGAAACCATTCAATTGAGAAACCCTGGCACTATAATTGATATTGATGACTACATAAATGAGAAGGGAGACCGTGTGCTTAAACGAGCTTTTTGGTCTTTCGGTTGCATGATATAGGCCTTCAAGCATTGCTGACCTCTGCTATGTGTCGATGGCAATTTCTTGACTGGGCAGTATAGAGGTACGTTCCTAATAGCCATAGGGGTTGACGGCAACAGCCAGGTTGTGCCTATTGCTTTTGCCCTGGTTGAATCAGAGAACAGCGAAAGATGGTTGTGGTTCCTAAAGTTGCTGAAACGAGCTCTCATCGATGGAAGGGAACGCTTGTGTCCTGCATGATTGTAATGCAGGTTTATTGATGCAGTGCAAAAGTTGAAGAACGGTACTAATCCATATGTCCAATGGCCCGATATACAAAGTCGGTGGTGCATGAGGCATCTTGCTGCTAATTGCTACAAGCAGTTCAAGAGCAAGCGCTTGATGGACCTGTTCAAGAGGCTATGCAAGCAGAATCAGAAACAAAAAATTGATTTCTTTTGGCAATGGTTGGATGAGCTGAACACAAGCCACATGAAAGAGGAGCGTCGTCAACCTGTTGTGGCACGAGAGGAGGAGCAGATCCTAACGAGCCTAAAAGCAAAACTCACCGACGTAAGGGGGTAGGTCTTTGAAATGTTTATCATATTGGATTAAAGAGGAACCCCTGGACAAGTGGTTTTTGTTGTATGACACCTTTGGAGCTCGCTATGGCATAATGACAACGAATCTCGTGGTGGTTTACAACTGGGTGCTAAAAGGTACACGTTCCCTTCCGTTGGTTGCCATTGTGGAGGGTATCCTGAGGGGCACAATGTTGTATCTATGAGAGCATTGTCAAGCGGCAATTGTAGTCGTTCAGAATCCACAGATGACATATTTAGCGAAGATTTCTGCATACATCGAAGAGAAGAGTGCCAAAGGATCCCTGCATAGGGTCTTTTATGTTGGCAATCAGCACCTTGTCTATGAAGTGTATCTGCGTGACAAGGGTGGACTTGGCATTGGTCCAAGCGAAATAACTATGGAGTGTCAGTTATGGCCAGCGAAGAACAAGTGCACGTGCACATGCAACAAGCCGAAGTACTACCATTATCCATGCTCCCATGTGCTTGCTGCTGTTGGGAATGCCAAAGTTCCCATGACATTTGTGTCACCTTATTTCAAGAAGGAGGCCGTACTAAACACCTGGTGTGGTGAGCTTCGAGGTTGGAGGGCCATTTCTGATTTCACTAAGCCTGTTTATGACTCCGACCGTCATTGGTCTCCGGATCCGAACAAATGGGTGGAGGCAAGAGGTCGTCGCAAGAGTCATCGTATTAGGAATGATATGGACGCTTTGGAGGCTTCAGACAAGCGTCCTTTCTGCCTCGCGTGTGGTGGAAATCATATGAGGAGAAATTGTGATGCGTACCCAACACATAGGCTTCCGGATGGAACGGAAGAGCGACGTATTCCAAATCACAACTCTAGGGTTTGAACTATGGCTTGTAATATTTTAGTTTGGGACCATTTTGCGTTTAAGATTGTAGTTTTAGACTATTGTGCAATATTTAAGTTTTGACTATTCTCATTTTTGAATTATTTATTAATATGGCATTGTATTTTCAAAAAATCTTTATTTTTGCAGGATGGCCGGTATGGAACTCATCGACCCTATTATTGACTAGAGGCACCGCTCCAACTTACAGGACAACCAGCTTCTCGTAGCCCTACGTCTTGGTACCCACAACGAGTTGTGGTTACTTGACCAGTGCTGGGTTCCATGGTTTGTTTAATTCATACCTTTTACGTTACAACCTTACTTGTTCAAATTTTTATTATTTAATCACTAAATATGTTTCCATCACAGTGTATGTGCTTCTGGTCTACTTCTGTTTGCGCGCCTGGTTGAGTGACATAGGCATAGGAGTGCATGTTTTTTGCTGGACCGTGCACTCCTCTCTGCTTGGGTGGACCGCTGGAGGCCGAAGACGCACACGTTCCACCTCCCTGTAAGTGAGGTGACTGTCACTCTACAGGACACCGCCATGCTCTTCGGTCTACCACTCGACGGTGCCCCTGTTGGCCCTGTTGTCGTGTCGGTGGACTGGGAGGAGCAGCTCTTGCACCGTTTCGAGGGTGTCTTGCAGCCGACTGACGGAGAGGTTGAGCAGTTCGGCTTCCACGACCGCCACGGGCCTCCGAAGGCTTGGTTGTCTCAGTTCCGTGCGGAGAGGCTCACGGAGGACGAGGACGGTTGGAGGGTGATGCAACACTTGGAGGCGTACCTACTTTGGCTATTTGGCCAGGTACTCTTCACTAGTTCTCACCACGACACCATTGATAGGCACTTCATTTACTATGCGGTGCAGATAGCGTACGCACCACTTGAGGCGATTCCCCAGTACAATTAGGGTTCTGCAGTGCTGGCAACTATGTACCGGGCTCTGTGTGATGCTTGCACTCGGAGGACTTCGATGGGTACATTGGCTGGTTCACCTTTGTTGATGATGTTGTGGTCGTTCGAGCGGTTTGATATTGGGAGGCCGACGTTATCGTCGTATGATCCTTACAATGATGAGATGTACATTTTTGACCAGCTTGGTGAGGCCGACGAGCTCGATGCCCCCACGATGGGCACACTCTGGTTGTCCCATGAAGTAAGTATCTTGTCTCTACTATTTGTTTACATGCTAGTATTATGCTTTGAATCTTCATCAACTTTGTTGTTCTTTGCAGCCGAGGTGGGCAACAGCCACGGGTAGAGGCACGTACAATGCGTACGTCGCTGCGTTGGACCAGCTCACAGCTGACAGGGTTCGGTGGACCCCATACACAGTAGTTGACATACAGTCCCATGCTCCGCGTGGCTTGTCGGAGTTGTGCTACCATGACTAGGAGCTATGGTGCATGAGGAAAAGACTAGTGTTCGACATCTTGGTTGAGCCATACTGTCCAGAGCTGGAGGCACGCCAGTTTGGGCGTGCGTAGGTCTTCCCCCTTCCCCGACTTTAGCTTGATGGGTCCCACGGGTAAGCCTTGTTGCATTAAGCGTTCATCTAGATACTGTCATAGTATTATTCATTATCAATTCTATTGCAGACATTCAAGGAAAAGTCTAGGTGTAGCGTTCGAGCAGTCGTGGGTGGATAGGATGGTGCCTTGGGTCAACGACTGGGCACAAGCTGCCACCAACGTGCATGACCTTGGTGGGCCATTCGACAAGGCCACATACCGAGAGTACTTGCATTGGTTCCATGGAGCCACACGCGTCCGTTGCTTCCCTGTGCCGGTAGAAGCCGTGCCACACGAAGCCGAGATCACCGACACGTTCGCCATGGAGCCACCAGCTGCTTTCCATGTCCTGGTAAGTAAATTTCTTACATACGTTGTTGTATCCTTACTTTGCAAATCAAGCATAACAATACATGAGACAATACATGCCTTACTTACAGACATATATCTACAGTGACATGGGCAACGAGCTGCTTTCATATGCCTAGCGGTTCGAGCACAACCCCCCAACGGTTGGTAGGCTGGAGTTGGTTGTCGCCCTTCAACGACTAGGGCAACGTTGCTTGGCGGGAGTACACCGAGCATGATGCCGCCACACCACTGACATAGTTGTTCACGCCCACCAGGGTGTGCCTCCACTTCTGTAGGTCGAGATGGTGGACTAGAGGGGTGAATAGTACTTTCTAAATTGAATTGTGTCGGCTAAACGAAACAAATACGGAATTAAAACAATTCTTTCTAGCCAAGACTACACCCATCTATCAAAGTTCACAAACACCTTATAAAGATCCTAATTTAGGCAACAAAGGTGCTGGGCTAGCTAGAGCTCACCTATCCAATTCTAGAAGCAAGGTCACACAAACCTACGCCACTAGTATTTTTCACACCGGGGAGCTCCTACACAATTCTAGTAAGCAAAAGCACAAAGCTCCTAAGCTCACTAGCAATGCTCAATAACAAGGCAACCAATGCCAAATTAGAGAGCGCAAATACTCAGCTACACAAACTAAGCAATGCGACTAACAGGGTTACATGAACCAAATTAGCCATGCAAGGGTGCTACTTCTATGCTACACAAGCAAGAAGGTAACTAGTGAGCTACACAAGCTAACTAATTACAAGAGCAACTACACAAGCATAATGTATATGAAAGTAAATATAAGCTTGTGTAAGGGGATTGCAAACCAACGGGAAGAACAATGTTGACACGGTGATTTTTCTCCCGAGATTCACGTGCTTGCCAACACGCTACGTCCCCGTTGAGACAAGCTCCAAGGTTGCCGCCGGTACTCGTGCTAGTGGTGACCCACAAGTCACACTCTCCCACGTGGAGTGCTTACCACAAGCTCTAGCACTTGACCCGGCCAGACCACCTGTCGCCCTTCGCATCTTGCTCTACTAGAGTTGCTCTTTGCGGCTTCCGCAGGGTGAGCACAATGCCCCACACAAAGCTCTTCTCCGGTGCACAGCACAAGCTTCTTGCGGGCTTCGACAGAGACCACCACCAAGCCATCTAGGAGGTGGCAACCTCCAAGAGTAACAAGCACCACCGGCTTGCAAGATGACCACCTAGTGCCACTCAATGCAACCTCACGATTCAATCGCACTAGAATCGCTCACTCACTCGATCAGATGAACACTATCAAGCTCAAGTGAGTTAGAGGGCTCCCAAGCACTACCACATAAGCCACTGAGGCTCTAGTGTGCTCAGCTCTACTTAGCTCTCGGCCAAAGGCCAACCAACACTTCTATTTATAGCCCCACGGGATAAAATAGCCGTTACCCCTTCACTGGGTAAAAATCGTAGCGACTGGACGCACCGGTTGAATCGACTTGACGCACCCTACCAGCGTCCGGTCAATGGATGGCTACCATGTCATCCCTGGCTTCAAATACCGAGTGCCCGATCTCAACGATTAAGTTGTGACCGAACGCACCGTGAGGATGACCGTACGCTGCTACGCCTGAGTCCGGTCGTTTCCAGAGAGCTCCCCGAGCCTCTATTTTGCGACCGGACACGTTTGGTGCTGCACGACCGGACGCAAACCAGCGTCTGTTAGCTCTGCGCTCGTGTGCCAACTCTAGCGTTGCCTACGTCACCATACGTCACATGTGACCGAATGTAGGCCCTACGCGTCCGATCACCTTTACTGTGCAGCGTTCGGTCACTTGACCGAGACCACACCATCCTACCGAGGCTAGCGTCCGGTCACTCACAATGACCTCCTTTCACCTTCGTTTCTTCACTGAGTTGATCCGTTTCAACTCCAACTCCTTCTCCTTTGTAAATGTGCCAACAACACCAAGTGTACACCACCATGTGTATGTGTGTTAGCTTTTCACAAACATTTTCCAAAGGATTAGCCACTCAACTTGCCATGCCACTGTCGATGTTTGACCACCGATAGCCTGCCACGGGGGTCCCCGGGGCAGTATGTTCGGGCTTCAGCGTATACGGAACTCGACGGTGAATGCAAGAGACAGTCGATTTATCCTAGTTCGGGCCCTCGATCGTGATCGAGTAATAGCCCTACGTCCAGTCGGCGTTAGCCTTGCGTTGGATTGATTGTGTGTTGTTGTTCTAAAATTCCAGTCCCGTCTCCAGGAACCCCGCCCTCCTTTATATAGTCAGGAGGTCAGAGTCCTAGTCGGTTTACGATGAGAGTTCCTAGTAGGATTACAGAATAATACTACTACTAAGATTACATGAGAAGAATCCTAGTTAGACTAGATCTTCTCTCTTCCTTGCGGGGTATCCCGTGGGTCCCGCATCGATAGCCACTCGATCCTCGCGATGATGCAAAGTTAGATCACTCGAGTGGCACTAGATGACCAATATGCAAACAAGTTTACCCCTCTTGATAGTACGACCATCTATCCTAAATCCGGTCATCAACTTCTCTACACACCTATGACCGGTGAAATAAAATGCCTTAGGTTATACCTTCGTCTTGCACATTCTATTCCATCACCTCCAATGTCGATACAACACATGCACCAACACGATCAACAATGATATGATCCACTTTATATCATCACGTGATCATATTGGTTCATCGATCTTAACTTCACTTGTTTTTCACCGTTGCCTTCGTCCATCGGCGCCAAGTCCTGCTCAAGCTTCACCACCACGCGGTCTATCACTCCAAAGCCTCCAACTTGCCCTTCACACTTGCAACCGATCCATCAAGCCAAGTCATGTCTTGATCTTCTCCACCTTAATCACATGACTCAGTGTCATGTCTCATTTGCAATGAGCTCCTTCATCATCACATGTGTGAGCTTTGCAACATCTCCGAGCCATCTTTACCTCAATGGCATATGTTGCTCACACACATGTACCTGTGGATTAATCACCTATGTATCTCACATAAACATAATTAGTCCACCTAGGTTGTCACTCAATTAACAAAACCAAACAAGGACCTTTCAATCTTCCTCTTTTTTGGTAATTGATGACAACACTATAAAGATATTAAAATTAAGCTCTTATGAATTCATGTCGCTTGCCTAAGCAATTTTATCATGTGTAAATGATTTTGGACAAGTACCACAAACCCGAAATGACAGTATTAGCTCCCCCTACATATGTGCTAGAGTGTTTGGTTTGAAGCTCGCACATATGCATAGATTGGAATTGTGGGAGAGTAATTACTACCAAATGATGCTAAGGTGTATAGAATAAACCTTTAAAGTGTGATATCAATTGGAGTTGCACTTTTAATACCATCCTTAGCACCATAAGTAGCTAGACAACAAAAATACTAGAATCCTCATGAGATCAATCATTATAATCAAGTTTCAAGTACAAGGTGTAAAAATACAAGTCTAGCTACCATCCTATGCATACTAGTTATCAAATCATCATTCAAGTTCTACAACTAGCATACACCACATAAGCATGCATATAAATTTAAAAAAGTTGTGCAATGCAAGCAAGCACATGACTATGCACATTTCAAATGCAACTAATCAAAGTTCATGAGCTTGCTCCCCCTACTTGTGTGCTTTTCTTGTCTAAGAATTTTGATCCATCTCTTTTCTTCAATGCTGCTCCCTCTTTATCTATGTCTAGGTCCAACCTCTACTTCTTTTCTTCAATGTCTCCCAAAGCTTTCATATCTTTGTATAATCTCTTCCCATTTGTCATCAATTTCCATAAAAGATGTGCATCTCATCGATGCAAAGGTATGCATTTGGGATAGATGGTTAAGGCTTGAATCTTACATTTTTTATGGATATCACTTGATTGTTGGAATGACACCACTTGTAGCCCTTGAGATACCACACATAGGATCTTTGACCTTGATATCAATTTGTGGGACACCTCCCCATATGTCATAACATGGGTCATCCATTTGATAAACTTGAGCTCTTGTAGGTGAGGGATGCATTCTTCATTTGATGATCACTTAAAGTTGAGTATCACTTGTGGAACCATCGTCTTGCATGATTGATACCATGTATAGATGTGATACCACTTGAAAGAATTTTCTAAAATGGAACCACTTGTTGGATTTATCAATAAAAACCATTTTTTGAACCTTTGTTATCTTTATGAGTACCACTTATAGGATATCACTTGTGAGTTGATCTAGACATCACTTGTGAATTCTTGATGAAATACTTGAGTTTAGATACCACTTGAAACAAACAAATTAGATATCCATTTGCATTGTTATCTTGTGCTTGTACTCTTATCACTATCATGAGCTTTTATGGTTGACTTGAACTAAATTGATTTGTCTAAGCTTTCAAATCCGGTTTGAACCCTCTCTAAGCTTCTTCACACTCATTTGGAGGTTATCTTATCGAGGTTGTACTTGTCACTTGTTGACAATCCAAATTAAATCAAGTACTTAGGTTCACTAGCTCATGAACAAATTTATATACTAACCACCAGATCAACTAACCATTCTGATAAAAAAAAGGTAAAGTACCGACCTACCTAGTACAAGTAGAATGCAGAGTTAAGAGCATAAATAGCTTGTTTGGCTGCTTGTTTGCGCAAGCGAGAAACCACAATCCCGAGAAGAATGGTGGCAATGGCAACGTCGTCGTGGTTGCTGCTTATCGGCCTCGCCGCCGCCGCCGGGGTCCTTCAAGCTCGTGCACAGCCAGACAGCATCGGTATGCCCACCATCTCGATGGTTGCACTTGTATAAAGTTTCAGATCCTCCTCCACGATATCGATGCACAGATCGACGACACAGTCGCTCCATGTGCGGCCATGCACGATTGAAGAACGAAAGGTACTGTATGTGTCTGTGCGGTTGCAGGTTTCATCAGCATAGACTGCGGCCTGCCGGGGACGTCGAACTCCGTGGACGACACCACCAAGCTGTCGTACGCCCCGGACGCCGGCTTCACCGACGCCGGCACGAACCACAACATCTCGGTGGAGTACATCACGCACACACAGTACGCACTCCTACTCTACACACACGCTTGGACTCCCTACTTCTTCCAATGCAGGTCTGATAGCTTCAATAGCAGGGCACAGTCGGCATGTGATGGACCAGCGTCAAGCACACCATAACAATGCATGCTACCTCCCGACGCACAGGCACGCGACACTATCCACATGCAGATACACCATTCATTTACCAGGATTGGTACAAGGATCCAGATGCTACGCCGATGCTTCGACAAGTCCAGATCAAGCTTCCTGGATTCATAAGAAAGCTGGTCTTGGATTCCAAGCGTGACGGGCACGACATCGTGACCATTATGGAACATCCGCACATGGCGGTGCAAAGAAAATGAGGAAAATCCCTGGTACGAAACCTACATCGAGCGGGGCTCGAACCTAGGCCGTGGGGGCTCCACTGAGCCACTGACTCATTCGCGATGCTCTTGCATTATCACCACCACACAAAAATCACATTGTCTTAAAAAAAACTTGGTTGGCGCAAGGGTTTTATTAACATAGATTAGAGAGATGTGAAATGACCATGGATGCCACTATTAATTAGGTGTGTTTTAGTTTTTAATGGCTAGGAAGGCTAAGTCTAGTCTTAATGGGGTTTCATGACATTCAATAAACTGACATAACATATTGTAAAATGAAGAGAGACTGTACAAATATTATAGGATGAAATGATTTTCATATGAATAAAACTTGTTTACACTGTTTCTAATAGGATTAGAAACTGAGACATGAAACTCTCATCGAGACTGGCGGCCTAATGGTATGCAAGAGAGGTTGATTTAAGGGGCTCTTGTGTTTGTACCCTTGTTTTGTTCCGAAATTATGATTTTGCCCTTATTTTTTTGACTTTGTGAATTTACCCCTACTGTGCCATTCACGAAGCACCAGTTTGCCCCTTCTCCGTCATCCACCCCTAACGGTGTTAAACTTTGTACAAAAGGACATGAATGCCCATGCGATTTTGCCCCTGTTTGTTATGTCTAATTGTGATTTTACCCTGATTTGGAATTATACTTTTTTATTGTATGCTGACAATTGATTAAATTTGGTCAAAATATTTGGCACAACTTGTAATTATTTGAACTCAGATTTAATATTGATAAATATTCAAAATTTTGGGACCAAAAGGTTCATAATGATGTAACGCCATAAGAAATTTTTCGATATAATCTTTTGTGTGGGACAAAAAATCTTCAATGTATAAGAATGCATGTAGAACATCGGATAACAAACTGTATAAGTAGATGCATGCACGATAACCTTAGTGCCTTACCACATAGGAATGTCATACAGTACATGTTTTTTCAGCAAAAGTAACCGCCATACAAGTTGGTTCATGTAACACTACAAGCACTAGAACTACAACATGTATTTACTAACCAAATTGGAAAAGAGAATGACATGAATAAAAAAGACAATTGTGAATCATCATGATCGACCATAGCAGCATTTACTACAGATTACTACAGAAACGCGACGGCTTCGGGTCGTAGGCAGCACCAGCACGACCGCCGAGTCGGCGGCGCCGTCCGAACGCGACGCCTCCACCTTCCTCTGCTTCTGCGGTATTGGAAATGAGTGTGGTTGAAAAGTGTACGCCCTAGGAAAATATTGAGCACCATGAAACTTACCCATCGAGATAGGAAATGGTCGTACATGGTCAAAAGGCCAAGTCTAAACACGGGTTATGTTGCATAAACTGGTGCAGAGAGCCCAAGATGTTTCATAGCATAAGGCAAAGCTCCTAGATGCATCATGTCAGGATGTGACAAAAGAACAGCATCTACAGTTGGTGCAACCCTGAAAATATACAGTATCTATTAGTGTAAGTGAAAACTCACAATCAATTTGCTTCGACGGTAAATAGCATATTGACACCAATGACATGTACGCATCTGCAGTGATGGAAAGTATCTCCTTTACTCAACTGCTGAGTGTAGACTTTGGAAAGAAAAATGGAGTGCATCCTTGCATCTATAAGATGTGTAAATACAACAAACGGCAGGAAAATGAATGGTGAAACGATTATTCAGTGGGGAGGCAATGCACTGCGATTGGCATGGTGTTACACAAGGAGGCCAAAGTTTGGACAGAAGGAGCTACATGGTTTTATAGCGTCCTCTTACAAGAAACAACAGATATGAGCAAGCGTGTCAATTACACTAGACTGTGCCTTAGGCATAGAAGATGTGGCATAATAGCAGGCCATTCAGCAACAAACATGCATCTAAGCACATAAATGTTTGGGTGGACATGGATTTGTGAACATTCACCCTCCAACACGCACACATGAATGCGCATTGCGCAAGCACATCAGTCAAATAATTGAAACAAGATGGAGATAGCAATTAAGCCTCTTTCAAATCTACGGTAACAACTTAGTACAGGAGAACTATGATCTAATCAGTTTGGTTAAACAAGATTAGAACTAGGATCTAATCAGTTTCAAATCTACGGTAACAACTTAGTACAGGAGAGATAAGGATAAGGGGCACTATGGTCATTTGGCCTTTGTTTTTCAGATTTAGAATTTTTTTAATTCGTTTAATCCATGTCCATCTGACGGACGTCAGAAACAAGGGCAAACGGACCGTTCAGTTCAAAATAACAGGGGTAAAAACACAAAGTTGAAAAAGGAAGGGTAAAATCACAATTAGCTTACTGGACAAGGATAAGAACACCATTTTCCCTTGATTTAATGTACATGACCCCACCGAGTACCTAAGTACTGAATATGATATGTTTTATGAGGCAAAATTTGAATCATAGCCAAAATTTCTAAGTTTTTTTTAATTTAGTACAGATACAGTACTCCCCCATCCAAAAAAAATGCAACTATAAGGCTTATGTCAGTCAAATTAGTTTAACTTTGATTAAGTTTGTACTGAATAGTATTATCATTTATGTCTTCAATAAAGTTTAGTATAATAATATATTTTATAATTTTATCAAATGATACTTATTTTATATCATGAATGTCAATACTTTTTTATATAAATGTAATCAAGGTTCAAATGGTTTGACTTATCCAAAAACGAGAATAAAACGAGAATTATAATCTTTTGTGAACCGATAGAGTTGATAAAAAAAGTAAAGTACCGACCTACCTAGTACAAGTAGAATGCAGAGTTAAGAGCATAAATAGCTTGTTTGGCTGCTTGTTTGCGCAAGTGAGAAACCACAATCCCGAGAAGAATGGTGGCAATGGCAACGTCGTCGTGGTTGCTGCTTATCGGCCTCGCCGCCGCCGCCGGGGTCCTTCAAGCTCGTGCACAGCCAGACAGCATCGGTATGCCCACCATCTCGATGGTTGCACTTGTATAAAGTTTCAGATCCTCCTGCACGATATCGATGCACAGATCGACGACACAGTCGCTCCATGTGCGGCCATGCACGATTGAAGAACGAAAGGTACTGTATGTGTCTGTGCGGTTGCAGGTTTCATCAGCATAGACTGTGGCCTGTCCGGGACGGCGAGCTACGTGGACGACACCACCAAGCTGTCGTACGTCCCGGACGCCGGCTTCATCGACGGCGACGCCGGGTCCAACCGCAACATCTCGGCCGAGTACATGACGCCGATGCTCTCGAAGCGCTACCTGAACGTGCGTAGCTTCGCCCCGGCGGCGCGCGCAACTGCTACACGCTCCGCTCCATCGTGGCGGGGCTCAAGTACCTCCTCCGCGCAGACTTCAAGTACGGCAACTACGACGGGCTGAGCCGGCCGCCCGTCTTCGACCTCCACGTCGGCGTCAACTACTGGACGACGGTGAACATCACGGACGCCGACGCGGACCAATGATCGTCGAGGCCATCGTCCTCGATCGTGCCGGACAGCTCCTTGCAGGTGTGCTTGGTCGACACCGGCTCCGGGGCGCCGTTCATCTCTTCGCTGGACCTTCGGCCGCTCAAGAGCACGCTCTACCCGCAGGCCAACGCGACGCAGGGCCTGGTCCTCGTCGCCAGGCTGAACTTCAGGTGGTCCACCGACGACACGGCGCTCGTCAGGTACCCCCATGATTACGATCTGACTTGACGAATCTGGATACCAAAAAATTGGTCGACACGGCCACCTGGAACTCCGTCCACGACGGCGCAGAGGGTGCACGAACATCGACAACGCCATGTTCGAGGCGCCGTCGAAGGTGATGCAGACGGCGATCACTCCGCGCAACGGGTCCAGCATCCATATGTACTGGTCCTCCGATCCGCAGCCCAAGGACCCGACGCCGGGGTACATCGTCATCATGTACTTCTCGGAGCTGCAGCGCCTTCCCAGCAACGCCGTGCGCCAGTTCTACATCAACCTCAACGGCAAGCCGTGGTACCCTCGGCCTTCACGCCGGAGTACCTCTTCAGCGACGCCGTCTTCAACACGTCAACCCCGTACAGGGCGGGGCGCGCCCGGTACAACATCTCCATCAACGCCACCGCCAACTCCACGCTGCCGCCGATCATCAACGCCATCGAGGTGTTCTCCGTCATCTCCACTACCAACGTTGGCACGGACTCCTCGGACGGTACGTATATGTGTACATGTGCATGCTGATGAACTCACGAGGAAACAAGCAACGTGTACGTGGTCGATGTTAATGAAAACTTGGGTGCAATGCAATCAACAGTATCTGCCATCACCGCGATCATGGCCAAGTATCGCGTGCAAAAAAACTGGATGGGTGACCCATGTGTCCCGAAGACTTATGTGTGGGACGGCTTGACTTGCAAATACTATGCCGTATCAAGTCCTCCAAGAATCACCGGCGTGTAAGTACCTTGAATTACCTAATTAACCGACAGCTTGCCGTAACCTTTTACGGGGCTAATTTCTAACAGTTGGGGTTATTAACGAGTTTGAGGTCTTGTTTGAATGTCTATGTATCTAACTTAATTCATGTGGGTCACATATGGATTGAGGTAGGTACATGAGCACAAGGCCTTAGCGGTTGATGTATCATGGTATCTTGTATCGTGGTATTATTATGAAGTTTATTTTCTATGTAGATCTGCACACACAATTAACACTCAATCAAAAGGTTTTTTTAAAGACAACACCAGAGGGGTGAGAGCCCTGCCTGAATGATTTTCCATTAATTCCAGCTAGCCAGCAATGGAGGATGCCAAGGCACCTACAAGGGTCAAAAGACCCAAGGTTTTGAGTTACATAATGAAAGATGAATAGGAGAGCTAAGACATACCATGTTTCATACAACTTTGACCTGGTTTTTGTGACAGGATGAGCAGTTAGTATCTTAAACTGAGATTAGAGAAAAACTATGTTAAACTAAATTGTCAGGTACCTGCAGAAACCTATCCTTCACTGGTCTGGAGGGTGACCTATCATCTTCTTTCGCAAATCTGAATGACGTCCAATATCTGTACGTGTGAACTTCACTATTTCCTTTTTTATTAATCAGGAGTATTCATCTATTTCAATTTTGTAGAATGTCTCAGTAATAAAAATAATAAAGTCAAATATACCATGGTCTACATATGTGTGTCGCAGGGATCTGTCACACAACAACTTGACCGGCTCAATTCCTGATGCCTTTTCACAGTTACCTTCACTAACAGTCCTGTAAGTTGCCAAATTAAAATGTTTCAGGCCTGATGATACGGCCTCCATAAACGTTGACTCACATCATTAGCATTTGGATTCCATCAGAAATTTGACAGGCAACCAGCTGAGTGGATCAATTCCCCTTGGAATTCTCAAAAGAGTTCAAGATGGCTCCCTAATTCTTCGGTTGATTACCTGATTCTCTCTTGGTTTCACAAATAAAGCATTAAATATTGATTGACAATAATGTGATTAAAACAGTTTTAATGTATGTCATTCATTCGTAGATATGACGACAATCCAAACCTTTGCACCAACGCTGAATCGTGTCAGCCGCCGGCAAAAGGGAAGAGCAGGCTGGTCGTCTACGTTGCCATCCCTCTAGTCCTGGTCCTGGTGACAGCATCAGTGGTAGCACTACTCTTTTGCTTCCTGAGACGGAAAAAGCAAGGTGGCACGCATCGAATGTCTGCTCTAGCAATTTCTCCACCCACTGTGTCCAGACTCCAGAGCACCAAACTGATGTTTGTTGTATGCGCATGTGCCACCGCCCAGGATCCACGACGGCAAACATCGTAAAGCCTCAAAACGAGGCGCCGATGAGCCATGCACCAGCGGCACTGTCATCTGGCGACGCGTACGCGCAGAGTTCGCTGCACCTTGAGAACCGCCGGTTCACGTACAAGGAGCTGGAGATGATCACAAACAACTTCCAGCGCGTGCTCGGCCGAGGAGGCTTTGGGAAAGTCTACGATGGCTTCTTGGAGGATGGCACTCAGGTGGCGGTCAAGCTGCGGTCTCAGTCTTCCAACCAGGGTGCAAAGGAGTTCCTCTTAGAGGTAGAATTTCAGATTTGCATCAAGAATTCCTTTTAACTTGGAACGTCGTTACTGCAGAATTTGATCAGTCATGATCCCTTGTTCAGGCTCAGATCTTAACACGGATTCATCATAAGAATCTCGTTTCCATGATCGGTTACTGCAAGGATGGGCAGTACATGGCACTTGTCTACGAGTACATGTCAGAAGGCAGCCTGCAAGAGCAGATTGCAGGTACTCTCCATCCGACCAAGTAGTATAAGTTTTTTTTAAGAACATATTGAGCACGTACTTATATCTATATTTATATATCTTTATTATTATTTACAAACTCTGCTATAATATTATCTCCGCATGCAAGCTATCCACGGCAACAACTCACGAGCACATACAATTTATGAATTATGATAGTTACCTTTCCACTCAAATTATCCATGTTAGTAAGTCATATCATTCACTTATAACTACCGTAGAGACTATTTGTAGCAGCGGTCAGAAAACATTTATAGAGTTGGCTACTCTAACTGCCTCTATACATCTGTCTCTACAAGAGTGCTTTTAGAGATGGGCTTGTAACCGCCCTCTACAAATCATCGATTTGTAGGAACCGTCACCCGCCTCTAAAGACCCATTCAAAAAAAATGTGGCCTATGTGCCGGCCAGGCTAGGCCCACTCACCGTTTTGCCTACCAGTGGGGATGACCAAGGTCACGCTGGCTTTCAGGTCGTTCTCGAGTTCACGTGCGCCACCATGCCGCCGCCATAATCACACCGAGCTAGCTCCACCGCCACACAATCACACCCTGCTCGGCTGGCCAAGCCTGTGCACCGCCGCACACGTTGAGGAGAGGAGCTTTGCTGCTGCCACTGCTCGCGCCGGAGAGGGAGTTGATGCGCCAGGTGGCACCCATCCGGTACTGTTGCGTGGGGGGGGGGGGGAGGGAGCTCGCCCGCCACCCCCGCTTGTGCCGAAGGTGGGAGACGTCGACGGGCTAGGGGAGTGAGGTCGCTATCGGGCCAGTTGTGCTACTAGCTCATCGTCATACCAGCGCTGTCGTGCCACCACCATGTTAGCCGGCGGTGTCGCTAGGAGCTGAGTAGCCAGTGCACCCATAGGGGCACGTTAGGCTGACCGTGTCGTCCTCCCATATGACCATGTCCAGGAAGAGAGCGTCTGCTCTTTGTGCACCCCTCCAAACACAACCAGAAATTGCAACTTCTCCTAGTGATGTGGGGTTCTCCTAGTGGTGTGAGGCTCTCCTAGTGTTTAGCATTTAACATTTGCATAAGTTTTTCCCTACCAAATGCCTCCTAGTGAGGATTCCTATGTGTTAGGACTGGTGAGAGTATTCTTATTACTACTTAAAACACTAGGAGAACTCCACCATTCTGATAGTTGCTGCTAAGCCACTTTTCATGATGGTTGTCGCCTAAATCCCACCGCACCATGCATGTAGTGATGGTAAAAGGCCTCACCACAACAATCCTATCACTTGCTCGAACCTCTAGCGGCTTGCTACGATGATGGTGTGGAGGGTTGCAGGCTAAAGGAAAGTTGGCGGCTTGGAGAGCCACCCACCATGTCGACCGTAGGGTGGTTGGGCCGAGTTTAATCCATCATGGAAGGCAGCAAATCACTGACCTAATGTAGCCATGACCGATGGACCATGACCAGTGAGGCAACGCCCAATTAAGGAGCGACCTTTGTGACTACAGAAGAGAGAGAGGAGGAAGGGGAATGGTGAGAGTGGAGTATGCTTCAGCCGTAGCCACTCTCAAGGTGAGCTTCGTTTCATATGGATAGACTCACATGACACAAGTATTGTGGGTTTGCCCAAATAGTATAAGTCATTTGGCCATTCTCATGAAGAGCTTTATAGTGTTATTTCCAAGAATGCCATGCCAGATAGAATATAATGAAATATGTGAAAGGATGAAGATGCCCAGGGTGGGTGGGGGTGAATTGGGATAATCTAAAAATCTCACAAAATTAAAACCTACCACTTAGCCCATTTTCACCCTTTTACCTAAATTTTGTTTCTAGCCTACCACGCAAATTTTTACAGCCTAGTTCCAACCCTAGTCCAGCATGGCAATTCTAGGAATGTAAAAACATGAACATAAATTGTTCAAATGTGCGCAAACTTGCACCAGTTATTAAGAAACTGGAGTGAGATGACCGCTCTCGCTCCCACCCCTCCCCCTCCCGGCGCCCCCTCGTCCACCAGCCCCACGTCGGTGCCTGCTCATGGCCCGTTGGCCACCCTCTCTGCCTTGCATCCGTAGGCTTTCCACTCCTCCCAGGTGCCGGATTCTTCCCCTTGTCTTCGCCACGGCCACACGTAGGTCATTCCAAGGGTGAGAGGTGGCGCGATGCCAGCCCGTCTTCGTCCGCGGGTGGCTCCTCATCCGTCCCTTTGTTTCTCAAGGTTCTGCTATCTGGTGGCGCCTCATCGTCCCCCTCGTCGTAGCCGGTGGTGGAGAAGCCACCACCGAAGGTCATTCTCAAGGCGCAGACGCGTCAGGTGTCTATCGCGTGGCCTTGTTAGGTGTCTATCGCGGAGGGCCCTGACGTGTCCGGGTGGCAGCAGTATGAAAGTCGTCGTGCCCACAAGAAGCGCCTAAAGGAGTTGCGCAGTCCCCGTTGGCCGGTGCCAGCGGACCTCTAGGGGAGGTGCTTCAACTGCTTTGCACCTTCTCAGCAAACCGCCATCTGTCGTGAAGGGCCTTGCCGCTTCAAGTGCCATGCTATTGGGCACCGTGAGTCCAGCTATGCCAGTCATGGGCAAGCTCTGCTCTCGGCGGTGCCTCGGGGGCTCCTCGTTTGGCGGCCAAAGGCTGCGCCTAGGGTCTCGGGCTCAAGGAAGATGGTGGTCACAGAGACAGCACCCGGCGGGGTGAGCTCTGGAGTTGCAAAAGAACACAGCACGTAGGCCAGGAGACAACGATGCCGTGTTAGGAAGCGGCGGCGTTCTGGTGCTGCTGGTCAGGGGGGCTCTAAGCCAGGATGATTATGACAATGGCGAGTCTCCTCAGGCTACTGTCAATGTTGGTGGTCAGGCCTCCTTCGCCCGGCACCGACGCATCATTGACCGCTCGGCTAAGATGGCCAGGGCCGAGGACGAGCTATGCAAGGCGCTCTCAGTTTCGATCGTCGGAGACTTGGCGACCCTTTCGGTTGATGTTCTAGTGGATGAGCTTGCTCGTCGCTATGAACTCCTGGTCGAGTCACTCGAGTTTCACCGTCTGAGCCATGATGATTGTCTGCTGGTTCTCCCCGATGAAGCTACGACAATTCATATATACAACGATGGGTGGTTGCTGCAATTGTCGTCATTCACTCTCTGTTTTTGGCGTTGGTCCCGACTCAAGAATGTGGCTACGGTGGTCTTGCCCTCGCTCATCAACATTGAGTTGAGCGGCATTCTGGCGCACACATGGGAGCTCGAGATGGCGGAGCACTTGCTGGATGAATGGTGTTGGGTGCGCGAGCTCCACCCTGATACAGTCGACTAGTGGGATTACTCGTCCTTTCGGCTCAAAGCGTGGTGTTCCTAGCCTGAGCTTATCCCGGCGGACATGGAATTAGTCATCATCGAGCCCCCGGTGCTTGCTAAAGAGGTCCCCCCGTGGAAGCATGCGTTGAAGTATGATATCAAGAATGCATCTACATTGGCTCCGTCTTCTAGGGTGGACAACGCTCCGCCTCTGCCTCCGCCATGCGATGAGTCTGACCATGGGAGACGTCGACGCCGGTGGTGAGCTCCTGCTTCGCTGGAGTCCATTGCCCATGACTTCGGTGCCCAAGGTGATGCTCCACGGGTCTCTGTGCACCATCGACTGGGCTCTGGCCCAGTGTCTAACGTACACATGGCAGATCGTGAGGAGCCAGTTGATGGCTCACAACTTGCTGAGCCCGATGCGATGCAGATGCCTTCAATTCCCTCACCCGCCTCATTTCTGCTGGCTGTCAATGATGATCTGGCGGCCATGGTTATTATGCCAAGGCTTGGGGAAGAGGAAGTGATCCCGAAGAGGCCGGGATTTCTATTTTGGCTGTCGGCTGAAGGCCTTGTTTTCCCGGTACCGTAGGCCATCGTGGTTGGAGAAGATTGCTTGATGTTTGGCTCTGGGTCTATGGATTCTGTCTTGGCCCATATGCCTGAAACAACCATGTTTGCATCTGTTCAGCCAAACCTGACCTCTAGTCCACCAAGTCGGATTGTAGAAGCTTTCAATGGCCCAGAGACAACATTGTTCGCTCCTGATCTGCTGGGCCTAGCCTCAAGCCCACCAAGACCTACGACTGATGCCAGCAGCGGTGGAGGATTCGTTGCTTCCCCATTGCTGGATGACATACCAATCCTCGCTCCACTCCTGGCGGTGCTAAGCACTTCACCGGTGGGGACGGCGTGGTCATGGCTCCGCTCCTAGACTCTCTTCTGGCTAGCATGCTAGCCATGCCCGAGCCAGTGGACATGGTAGTGGCGGCAGTGACTCCACACCGGACCCCCCTTCCTGGTCCTGGGAGCATTGAAGTCATGGTCGTGACTCCATCTACTGCTGAACGCTCATTTCCCATCAGTAAGGATCTTCATCTAGTGTCTCCAGCAGCCGATAGCGAGCCTGGCGAAGGCACCATCGGAGCTACAGGCGTAGGCTCATCCGCTACCACCTGTGCTGTAGACGCCATCGGCTCGGGGGGAACCCCGCCTCTCTTACAAGTCTATTCGCGCTGTCGTCCTAGCAGAAGGGTTGAGGTTGTGGATGGGGAGGTCGATGCTTCTACCTCGTAGCCCCTCAGTCCAGCCATGACTTTCATATTAAAGCTGTCAAAGACTCCAAGTGGTCTTCTGTCGATTCCTCATATCAGTAAGAGAAGAAAGAAGCTATTGCCTCCTACTAAAGCTCCATGCCACAGTCGGCGGATTGCTGGAATGGATGTGGAAAAGGCTGAGATATGTCCCACACATTTGAAGAAGCGCATGATGCGGGCTCTGTATATGAATGTAGAAGATGAGAAGGAGCATTTGGACCAACAGCTACTTGATGACTATGCCCAGCGTTTTTGTCAGCATGTTACATCCTCCCATACGAGGGCGTTGGGTGCCCTCTTTGGATGGGCACCTATAGTGGAGGACTATGTTGTTGGGCCGGTGGAATGCCTAGTTTGATTTTTGATTTCAGAGTTCATGGTCGTTCTCTGTTAATTTGTTTTCCAAATGAATCCATCA